TATATAAGTCGTTATTATATTATAGACAGCTAAATATGTTTAAATAATGTTCAAAGTGAAAGAGACACCGAAAACGCACAATATCAGAAACGCCTATTGAAAACTGCAAAATTTTTTATGCGTTGAACAGTGTAATCTTAGGTTACACTTAAAAATTGTCACATAACTTCTTAAATTGAGCTGTTCATAACTGCTTAAGTACTTAAATTAAACTGCGATACTAAATTTTTTTAGATAATAACTGATTTAAGAACGGCGACCACAACTAAAACCTTCACAACACTACCCAGGATGATAACCTTAACAACATAATGAAAGGTCATAGAAATCAGAGGAGGCTCCCTTATTGTAAATATTTACCGAAATACGATCGGTCGTCAACTTACTTTCCAAGGCGAGTCTACACAGTTATAGCTGCTTCAAAGGTATAGCGTCAGCCATAAACCAGACCTACCCTAAAATTGATTTCTTTCAGTAGCCTGATTCTGTCACTCGATACCCTTGAGTTGTAAAACCTGTGCTCGACCATCGTTCAGGGGCGCCGACGTCAATTTGGGATTGCTTTTTCCGTTTTAATGTAATTAAACAAATTCTTATAGCGTACTAATTTCAGATTTAAAATACTTCTGGCCCTTTTATTCGCGATAAAAACTTACGAAAACATGATTTTCTTTCAAAGATTCCAGTCTTTTTCGTCTTATTCCTTGAGTGCGGTGGGACACAATGGGCCCCCGATGATCGAGTACTAATGGTTTAAGGGTCGGCCAGTTTATGGGTAACGCTATATCTTTGAAGCAGATATACCAGATGTCAATTTGGCATGTCCCTAAGACTCTTACCACCGACGACTAGTTTTTTTTTTTTTAGTGAAAAACGAAAACTAAATATCAGGTAAATAATCTATAATCCGCTTTCTGTTCCCGTGAAAGCCGTGACGTACACGAAAACAAAGAAACGAACAATTGCTGTTACGATCGAGTACCCCGTTTCCCCAATCGATGACGATGCCGCTGCGTGTGTTCTGCTCGATTGCAGAAAATATTTCCGCGTGTAGATCGGTCATTTGTTAAAAATTTTTAACGATCCCCCGATAGTCTGTCGAAACGGTCTCGCCGTTTGATAAATGATAGGCGTGATATTAAATCCTCGCGCGTGGCCGATACGCGCACGAGCCAACCCGTTATTCATCTTTTGTTTTTTTCGGCGGTTATTAGTTCCGACCTATCGACGAGGCTAATAAATTGGCCACCCTTGTCCCAGGCACAAGACAACCCGTGTGTCTCCGGATGTGCAAGTAATTACACTCGTTAACGACATCATCGTAACTGAAACTGCATTTACGTGTTCCGCGCAGCTGCTCCGCCTGTTCATGAACTGCTAATTGCTTTCCGTTGATTCGATTAAAGTCGTACGAGCGATTCATTCTTCTCCGGTTACGGTTCCTCAGGTAGGACAATAGACGTTATTTTTTCCCCCAATCTTTTACGTGTTACGTAAGGTGCCGTCGAGTTGAACTGTTCGTGGGAATTATAGTGGAAATTTGATTGTCGGAATACCCGTTATCGGAACGCTCTGGTAACCGAACGGTCTTTCATCGAAACGTTCTATTATCCGAACAATGTATTTTAGACTTCAGGTGTATTCCACTTACTGCTTATGTCTCGTCACGTACGTACACAGGGTGAGTTAGAAATCGTAGTACAACCGGGCAGGGGGTTATTCTACGTTAAAAAAGAAGAAAATATTTTGGTATAACATTTTCTCATCTGAGGCTTCGTTTTCGAGAAAATCGATATTAAAGTTTGTTGAATTTGTAAACGATTTAGTACAAAGTTTGAACCTGCAGTCGGGAAGAGTGTTGAAGTCTGAATAGAAAATTATTAGGATATCTATTGTAGTAGACAAATGCAGTTACCGGGTTAAAATGTTAAAAAAAAAAAATTAGTAGGTGTTTCAATTTACGTAATTTGACGTTTAACCTCGAGTTATCTATGATTCCCGGTTAATCCGTGCACGAAGCAGTTTCTGCTTAGTTTTCGGAATTAAGTGGAACTGTGCGTGATCAATACGATTCAGTGTGCAACGTTAAATGGGAAATTGAGGTTTCAGGCTTGCTAATATGGCCTGATGCACGTCTAACGCTGAACATCTATTTGTGTTAGTGAGAAATCCACTTACAAGATTGAAAGCCATACACGTACGATTATGATTGACACTAACAATACGATGTTACTAAAAGTGGCCTGTAAAGAACAAATTGATAAATTAAATGTTTGCTCTGGAAACCATATACTTTCGTGTCACGAACACAGAAGTGTAGAGAGAAGGTGTAACAATATATCAAAACTTTTTACCGCTTCGATTTTGTGTGAAAACATTTTATCAAATCGTTCTCCTTCTCCGTCGTTCACCGAAGAGTTTGATACCAGTGATCACGTGAAAACGAAGTCTTCATATCATTTTTGGCTGCAGTCAAATTGTCAGACGCCCAAACATCTTAATCGATTAAATGTTCTGTAAAATATAGGCAATTGATACATAGAAGTTTCGAAAATATTTTCGGAAGAAATTTTAGATTTGATCGAAATTAGGAATAGAATATTTCTTTATTGTACCTATTACTAACAAACAAGGGGATATATTGAACCCACACACGCCGATTTTGATGTCGTTTATAGGAGATATAGATTACGGAAAAATATTTGACACGTATTTTTTTTACATCAGCAATCGTCCATATCGAAGGGGCGAAAAAAGCCTTCAATGTTGGGGGTTGAAAACATATTTTTTCGAATATCTCAGAAACTGGAGGGTATAGGGAAAATTTTTTATGTAATTGTGTGCTTTTGAGTGAGGGAATTTAATGATATAAATGATTTAAAAAATCATTTGCTTAAATAATGTATAAAAAATTAAAATTTTTTTGTTAATTTTTGTTGCTAAATTTTAACTAAATTTTACATAGATTTTTGTGTCAACTATGGGCCAACATTGGGAATACGTGTTTTTGGAATTTCTGAGATGGACGAAAAGTTAATCAGGCTTGTACCCTCCTCAGTTTGTTCTAAGTAGAAATAGCGCGCAATGATCAGACACAAAGTGAGCGTTAAATCCAAGTATAGGTTCACGTAATACTTCTGTACCATTCTAGTATTGGAAGATCATGGTAGTAATAGAGCTGGATATGATTTTTAACACTTTCAGCATAAATAGTCGGCGAAGAAATTCGAGAAAAAGAAATTCGAAGCTATAAACACAAAATTTTGTAAATATCGTTAAATATGGTAAATGTACTATTATAGTTTGGGACAACATGACCACCTATGGTGTGTGACAGTTGCTTTTTATTCATAATATTATGAACAAAATATATAGCAAAGGTGGTTAAAAATTCACCAGATTTCAATGTAATAGAGTATCTATGCGAAATGTTAGATTCTAAGTTGAGGGGAATAAATGTGAAATACGAATGAATCCCATAATTTCAAAGTATACACTCAATTTTGACTCTCACTGTATTTACTACCTAGTCCTATGCAAAGACACGTCTGTCCAATAAATTTTTGTGCTCCATTGTTTTTGAAACCGAATATTCCGATGAAAAATTTCTATTCCCGAATTTTCTTTTCTTCTTTGAAAAGTCACGTTTCCGAATTCAGTATCGGTTTTCGTCTCGGTGAACGTAATACCTGTGGACGCAAAAATTGAACCATTGCTGAATCAGACAATTCCCCGTTTTCAAATGGACGGCCCATCAAGAATAAAATTATTTGTGCGATATTCCAATTTTTGAAGTAACTACATTCGAACATTCGTGGAGTATACGTACAAAATTGTAGTACTTACATTCGATAATATGTCAGACAATTATTCGCTATTTTTACTCTTATATGTTGACAGTATTGTCTCATAGACTGTTTTTAACAATATATTAATAAAAATTGAGTTAAATATCGGTAATATCAGACACGAACAGATGATCTACATGTGTCATTGTGAATTTTCCACAGACAAGTAGAATTATTGTATAATGTACAGACAATTTTCTACAACTTGTTTGAATGATTATTACATCTGAAAGGATCTTACGTTCCTAATGTATGTTTGCAACAAATTTTACCCTTTTCACAATTATACCACCAATATTTACGTATCATTATTTATTTATATGACCACAAAGAAAAAAGATTATCTTAAGAAAAATAAAAGTGGAGAATGCTAAACGTATTGATAAAAAAAGGACTGTAATTTCTTTGCCTTGTAAACTGATAAGAAAGCACTATAATTTAAGGAAATACATATTTGGTATAATAGATTATCCATTATCCATAACAATTGCCTTGAGAAATCATAGATCAAAATAACTTTGTCAGTTTGGATGTGAAAACCAGGGACACCCTGTATATAATTTCATCAGTTGTTATTATTATACATATAACGGAGATCGATATTAACAGAATGATAAAATACACGGATTTATAACACTACGGACATGAATGTTGGTCTGCCATTCACTTCTTACCAAGTAAAAACTATAATGACCAGAGCTAATTTAACAAGTAACTTTCATCAGTAGTCGGCTGTTTTTGCCACGAGTTAACAAAATATGCTTTTTCCTATGTATGCAAAAAAGTTCAATAACTTTGAATACCAGAAAAGTACCAGTTGACACTTTCATAAGGCTCAGTGTCTCTAACAGTTGGCATCCACATAACCCCACTGTGGCGTCATCGGTCATCATAGGGTTAATATTCATGACATAACTCATAAGTATTAAGACATCTGGTCTATATGAAAAAAATGTGACGTTTCCTAAAAATGACATATTTTAGGCCATTTTTTTTAACTTTACAGTTGCATAAACGTTGTCCACATAGCTTTAATATCCCCTAAACATTTATTTCAGACTCTCAGCAATTTCGTAATGCCTTGTAACATTTACTGTACCTTCGATAAGTGTCCTAAGATTTATGAACGGGAGTGCACTCTGAAATTCATACCTGTAAGTAATTGACGATTGGGCAAAGTTCCGGCCCGAACGGCCAATACTGCAGCAGAAAAATACTGACGAAGCTGGGCGGCACGCAGAACAACGTCATCAAGATGTCCCCGAGAGCTAGGTTCACGATGAAGAAATTCGTCACGGTCTTCATACGGGGATTACTGTACACGACGTAGCAAACTAGGCTGTTCCCTGTCAGGGCGACGACAAACACCGTGATGTAGAAGAAGTAAATGATCCCGATGAACCAACTGAGCGAGAAGACACTGGTCGAGCCGACGAAATAGTTGCAATCGACTTCGAGGTCCTGTTTCGTTGTGTTCGGTAGACCGAAGACCTGCACGATGTGCCGGCTGTGATTATCGTGCTCGTAGCTGGTGTTCATTGTGGCTCGCCTCTTAGTACATGCTGACCTACACCAGAATATTCGACATGTTAGATCATTTAAGTTTTTCATTAAGAATATTCGACATGTTTAATCGTTTAAAGTTTGACTTGAAATTATCTATGTAATCAAAAGACATTGTATCTTTGCAAATTCTTCGAATATCGATTTGAAATTTTCAGGTAGTGTTTCTGAAGATTTAAACTTTCAGAAGATGCATTTAAAATAATCGATTTTTTGTAAATTTCAGAGTCACGTTCCTGCTTAATATTATTAGTCGTTTACACTTTACATTTCATTTTGGGAATTTTCAATAAATGATCATGAATCTTGCATACCTTGTGGTCCCTTATTGTGAAAGAAACTAGGTCTTTCGAAAGATTTGTCTATAAAAACTATTTATAATTATGTATATAGAGATATAACATTTAGGCCTCTGATTCGCGTCATTTATTCAAGGACTTACAAAGCTTAGGGTATTATTACAGCTGTCGGAGCATGTGGAACAGTGAACAGCGAAATGTCGTTCTTAATCCCTCCGTGCACGTTGCTTTGGACCTGTGTTTGCGTTAAAGTGACTAGCGTGACAGTATAATACCAAGCAGAGCATTAATCATGACGAAACTATCAAAAGAACAACATTTTGGAAATAATACTGTGCAAATTCGTCACTTTCGGAATGTGGTATTGTTTCGAGTGTCGAACCATGAATGACTTTTTTCTTTTTCCTTTCACTTGATGGATGAAGAAATAATTATCGGCTGATTGTTCCCGCATGATTGTTTTATCACGCGCTTGTGCACACACTCCCCACTCGTTTTTTTTGTCAGCGTGGCTCAGTGACAGCTGATTGATAGATAGATAGATAGCGCGCACACGCGCGCGTAATAGCGTTTTTTGTTATTTTCTGATGAATGAAAAACCAAAAGATTTGACAGTTTTTCGGGAATTTAAGGTGCCTCACGTAAATATTTAAATATTATAAATTTAGTTGTAAATTTAACAGAACATTCTTAAATCTTCGATCTTTCGATTGCTACCAACAAATCGCAAGATGAAGGATAAAATTATTGAAAAAGAAATGTTATAATAAATTCTTTTTTACACAAATCTTATGGAACTGCAGTTGATTTTGAGAAGTTAATCACTTTTTATTTAGTTACAAAAAATGACATTTTAATGGCAATTTCAGTGTATATTTCAAAAGTTTGGCACATTCATCGATCCGATAGAAATAGATATACGTTTATCGTCGATAGTTTTAATAATTTCCTACCGATTTTTCGGGTTTTCTTACATACGTACTTCCTCGTTTTTCTTTACTAAAAATGCATAAGGTGTTGGAAAACAATGATGAATATTATCAAAGGTGTCTGTGCTTGTGATTTTTTCGAAAGGAAATATTGAAATCGAGGAAAAATAATGATTCAAATGTTCGAAATATCAAGCACAAGTGCAACGTTTGAAAAATAAACATATTTCTGTCACAACTGTGGATAATATTTTCTCCGTGAATAACGCAGCACTGATACATATTATCACTGAAGTTTCGTTCATCTTCCACTGCTTGTCCGGAAAGTTTAGTCGTTCGTGCGAACTTCCTCGCGAGTTTTATCAAACTTCCAATGCCGCATTCACGTCCACAGGTGCGCCCAAGCAAATGTGACTTTTTATAAAAACACTTCGTAAAGAATTTTCCTTTGTTAATTATTCTATACAATATGTCAAGATTAACTTTATTTTCTCTACCTTAATAATTAATTACTGCGAGAAACATTGTAACTTAACAGGGTTTTATTTAGATGCATGCTATCCATTTTACAAATTGATAGAACTTGGAATTCTGAAGCCAGTGACATTTTTTTCAGCTGCATGTGGCCATCAGTTTATGAAATATTTAATGTTCAGTGTCGAGGAGCCTTCGAACACTCATCGAGGATTTACTGTATTGATGTGTATTTTACTGTTTTTTTGCATCATTCATTATATACTCAATCTTTCTACTTAATTTCGAATAAATCCTCAGCTTCAAAAATTTCGGATGCGAACAATACCTCGGACAGGATTCGGATAAATCGATCCTAATCACGTCCGAGTTGGAAAAGAAGCGGATGTCTAATTTTTGATAATACAGGTGGAAGGTGTAAATTTAACTTTAATGCCTTTTCTAGTCCCGTTATTCATTAAAAGTTTTTCCGTTGTGCTCACTTCAGTGAAAGAAAAATCTAGTCTTCCGGAAAATCAAGAAGAATTTGGTTTGCAAAACAATCAGAAGCGTCTACGAAGAACACGAGTTAACAGTTAGTATCACTTATTCCGTTGTTTTCGTATCTTTTATGTAAAACGATTCGCTGAATTTACAGTAAATGTTTCACTGGCTTGATTCTTCTGCTTCCTTCATCAGTAAACAAATGATATTCATTGAGCAATATGAACTGCATACTGTAACTTATAAAGGCAGGTGAAGACCTTCTGCAAAATTCACTATTTTATTATCATACTTCTGCAAATACTTCAATGTAAATTCTAAAATAGATTTTGGAAAGATCATGGAATTTCTCCTATGATGAAGGAGAACTATTTCCACTTAACTAACTTCTTGTAATTTACAATAATGACATTCATGTTTCGCAGAATTAAATCTTCATTCCCAGATTCCTGACAAATTACACTCATGCAGATTAAATTTGAATGTGAATTAATCAGGCCAATCATTAAAATTTCATGAAAATTACTGTCATACAGTTAATATTACCACCATTTAAATATAATTCATTTATGTGTAAGTCGACTTGATTATACATTAGCAATAGGGATTTTACAATTTTGTAAAGTTATTGCAACAATTTTCATAGAGATGTATACATATACATATATTGAGATTTTATCAACCTAAGGGTATAGTAAACTATATTTTTAGTATAGTAGAGTACAGTAATGGTAAAAATTTTGTACGGTATCGTGCGTTGACTTTAATTACTTGTGCCAATTATTTTGTTCTTTTTTTATTTCTTACAAACTTTGATTACTTATGTTACAATAAAAAACGTAATAGACTCTCACACTGTAGAACTTTAGACGTATTTCTAAGAGGTAATTTACATACACATTATACATAAATTATGAAATCTGAGAATCAACGTATATTTGTATAACATTCAAATAATTTGCATATTTCTAAGTGGAAATAACTCTTCGACATAAAAGTAGCTATTTTGAGGTCGATGGTGATTGTATTATTCGTCGTTCCAGCTTCGAAAATGTTCTAAATTATCAAACTTAAGTTGCTTCATGAATTATTTCAGGTTGGTAAATCAATATTCTCTGTTACGTATTATGTATACATCTACTCTATGAAACAAATCCTCTCATTAAATGCATTATTAATTCAATATTAATTAAAATAAAGGACTAGAGCAAATGCTACATAAAATAAAAATACTATTCAATTATACAGTTGAAGGAAATTCTATTTCAATAAAACTTTTCTGTTTTCTTTTAATTTTTGCCGGGCAAAATTTTTTCATTTTAGGCTTCGTTTTCCTGAAAATCGAATTTGAAAATTGATCTAAAACGCAGATATTTCTGAAGGCGATTAGTAGAAACGGAATGCAATGAACAGACACGTTAGCCAAGTCCTGTTTAATTGATGAATAGAATGAGAGATATTCAAATTCGATTACCTTGGAAACGTACCATAACGTGAAAACATTTTATTTTCGACTTATTTTTGCAGGTAGAATAACCACCTTAAATTCGCTTGTACCATACATACTTTCGACCGTACCCTATGCAATCTAAAGCGTTGACAGTAATCCTAAAGTAGTCGCAGATTCCACGACATCAATAAACAAATCTGTGAGTAACTTTTGAATTCATCAATGTTCCGGACTGGAAACCTGATGGATGTGGATAAAATAGAGTAAAAGTTAAAATTCACTATTTGTTTTAGATTCAAGGTTTTTTATCAGATTATTCGGTCTTTTATGTCTAGTTCTATTTTCACACTCGTGAATTTTCACGAGAAATTTCATTAGTAATACGATCAGTGTATCCATTTCCATTCGGTTTTCCTCTAATTTCTCAATTTTCAGTCGGATGGGTTCGCCTCAGAATTTGCATACAAGGAAATTGTTCGGGAAATGTTTGAACAGCCATGAAAGTACCATCCTCTTTTACTATCAGTTTTCATACTTTTTATTTCCATACGATTTTATAGGACTTTTAGAATTTTGGACGCGAAATGGTGTTCCAAAGTACACAACTGCTGGTCAGTTTTACGACACCTGGTCTGTTTAAAGAAAATGTGAGTTTTTGTAAAACTTATATATTTTAGGCCATTTTTATTACTTCGTAGTAGTATAAGCGTTTTCCATTGAGCTTTAATATTCCCTAAACAGTATTTTTTTCACTCTTTCAACAATTTTGTAATGCCCTGTAACATTTACTGTGTATTTAATAAGTGACGGGCGAAGATTAACAGACTTGTTCAATTTTTAAGTCAGAAGTAACTGTATTCGTGACACATTAGAAACATTGAAGAAGGGAATGTTTAAGGAGTAAATATTCAGTAGGCGACCAAAGGAACACGAGGAAAGATTGATGAAGTCATTAAATACCAGTTAAACGCGTCAAGCGTCAGACACGAATAAAAGAAAAATGGGAGCTTTATGAAGTATAATACACTACTGGGAAAAAGGTATTGCCTTGCTTGTGCACTGGTGAAAAATTGTTGAAATTCAATGTTCTATAAGTTCGTTAATATTCATCTAAATTTGTTTAATGAAAAGCAAATTAAAGCTTGAACCTTCTACTTTTTATACCACACAAAAGGGTAAATATTGATTAGCAAAGGGTTGACTTTGATTTTTAAAAAGGGTGAATTTCATTTGCAAAAGGTTGAATTTAGAGTGCAAAAAATGTATTACAACGTAAGTATTTATGTACGTATAATGGCATGACTATCATATAGATGTATAATTAACAAGGATAATTTTACT